GGTGGGGAAGGGGGCCGGGGGGGGGGGCTGGGGGATTTGTACAGATGTCGGACTGAGGTGGCTTGCAGTGTGCCTTTTGTAAAACTGTCAATAATTTATATATTTGTATATGCTAATACTTGATCGTGGATTTTATAAACTGTCAAATCTTGGTCCACACCATCTGCAGGCTCCAGATTTTACCTGGTGCATTGAGGTACTTCATGCAGCACGTTAGCTCAAGAGTGGTGGTGGTAGAAAACAGGGCCCAAGCTTCTCTGCAGGTCCCAGGGCAGGACAGTCAGTCTGGAGCAAACCTTCGTGCCCCAGACACGTTTGTAGGAGCAAAGCTACGTCTCTCCAGAGCATACACCAAAACATACAGACTCCGTAGCTGCTTGCTTACGTCATCCTTTTTTTTTTTAATTATTACTCCCCAAGAAGTGCCTTCTGGATGTTGCCTTCATTAGCAGCACCCTGTTCCCTGTCATGCACTTTCGGTCTTGAAGAAACATTTCCAGACAAACCTGAATACAGGGTGCTCCTAATGTGCTGCTTTTTTACATGTTATTTGCATAGGTGTGCAATGAACATTGTGCAAATCAAGGTTTCCCACAATTTTCTCCCTGTTTTCCCACCTCGATCCTTTCCATGTTTAACAACTTTAGGTCCAACTTGGCAACATCCTGCCTTTCTAACCTTAGCGAGCCATTACCCAGAGACTGTGTACAGCACAGCAAGGGGAGCAGAGGGTCTGCCAACACCCACATCTCCCCCAGGAACCAGCCACCAATGAACCAAATCAACTGAGCTGCAGAGTGAAAAGATCATGTAGCCAAGCTTAAAAAAGAAAAAAATCCCTCCTCCCTTTCTGGAGAGGCTTGGAAGAAAACTTTGACAGGGATTCTCATCTTGGTGACATTATCAAACCAAGACGCAGTCCTAGAGGATAAAGAGTAAGCTGTTTCCATGCTGATGTCCTCCATCTGAACACAACCTTTGTGACTCCACTGGGCACATGTGAGGCCATTTCTTGCACCAAAATGCTCTCCAGAATGTGCCAGGGGAAGAATTAATAGTGACGCCAGCAACCCTGGAGCGCTTTGCCTATCAGGGGAAAGATCTTGAGAGTTTTTTTCCCAGAGTTGTGGCTTTTCTCTCTCACACAGCTCCTTGGCTGCCAGCTGAAATCTGATAAAAAGCCTGGTCCTCAGAGATTTACTCATTTTTTCCTACGTTGCTGAAATGCTGGCAAGGCAAAGGGGAGCTCCTCTCATTCCTCATCTTCTCCAGGCTAGGAGAAAGCGGAGGAACATGGCATGACACAGTGATGTGATTGAAGCCTTTAACGTGCTTGTAGGAGCTCCTGCACTGGAGATGTCTGCTGAGGTCTGGTCCACATCTGGAACACTCTATCCTGAAAATGGGAAGGGGTGTTGTGGACGGGGGTCCTGCTCAGGCTGGTCTGCAGCTTGGTCTCTAAACCCACTCTTCCATCACGGCCACCTTCAGTGTCTGAATCTGGTTTAGGGAGGTCTATGCAAAGGGGATGCAGATGTAAACCCATCTCACAACCCTCATTGGTAGTGGTGGGAGAAGCTCAGGCTTTGTCCTCACACCTGTAAAGGTCTTTACAAATGGAAACCCTGTTGCTTAAGCAGCTGTCTCCAGGGATGGTTGAAACACACTGAGACCATAAAAACCAGTGTCAAGACCTCACTTGGGATACTGAAACCAATCGCTCATATTTTTATGCATCTCCTTTTCAATCACAGATCTTAGGGTGGGATTTTAACCCTTTTGTTCAGTGCTGGAGGGTTTCTCCCTCTACTGAGCCTTTGCAATGCTGGACCAGCCTTCAAAATCACAAGAAACATTGATTTTCTTAAAAAGGCAACAGGAGTGCCTACAGGCAGGGATCTGAAGGGGAACAGCAACCAACTGCAGTGCAAGACTGGGACAGTTTGGGAAGGAGAAGGTGTTTTTTAGTAGATCTTGCCTTTTTAAGAGAATTCTTTTCTGCTGGCAGAAAATGTAACTTTTTTAAAAAATCAGTTAATTTTTCTAAGTCTGTACATAGATTAAATGTTTCGAGGGTCACTTCCTGTCAGGATTCCTGTCTTTGAGGCACTGGGATAAGTTCAAAACTCAATGTGACAATCCAGATGAAGACTGCAAGATTTCCTTGTGTAATCTCACACTCGCTGCTAGTAAAAGCTGGCAAGTGCCGTCACTGTGTTAGTTTGGGGTTTTTTTTCTTCAAGAACCTCTGCGGCGTTGTAAGGCTTTGTGATTACTCACAATATAATAAAGTGATTTGGAGGAGAATAAACCCGGATCCCCTGGATTTATTGCCTTAGCGCTGGGAGGGTGACAGCTGTTGCTGGGTCTGAAGTGCACCACGCTTCTCCTTGTGCTGCTCAGCCCCACCAGCCTCACGGGTGTGAAATCTCCAAACTGGCAGCAGGATTTGTCCTGCTGTGTTTGGCTCGCTGGGGTCCTCACTGGTAGAAAAGCTTGAGAGCTTCACTGGCTGACTGAAAGGAAATTATGGACATGTGGCAGTGAAGCAGCACAAGAGGATCTGGAGCAAATTTCCTGCTCCAAAGCTGACCAGAGATGGTGGGGATTTCTTCATGGATTTGGTCGACCTGAGGCACAGGCTGCTAAGGTCAAAAGGCTGGATTTGCAGAGTGGATGATGTGGGGAGAGCCCACGAGCTGTTTCACAAGACTAAGGGGGTGGGAAGAAGTGCACGGGTGCAGGGAAAGCTTCATGCTGCCAGACCACAGAGCTCTCGTGGTGAGACACACGTGGACCAGTCTCGGCTCCACTCTCCAAGGAGCTGCTGCATGGAGGGCTAAGAGCGTGCAGAGCCACTGCAACTCAAGAATAAATAGAATCCTCTCAGGAGGGTTTTGCCTGCTCTTAAATAGCAAATTTCATTTTAAGCACTTCTCAGTGCTGTGTATAGAAGTGATGCAAGCAGAGGCCCTGGGAGGAAACCACCTCCAGAAAGCTTCCATGTTCCCAGTCCTCCCCAGCCTGAGGGCACTGCAGGCTGCCTTGAAGAGGCTGTTGGTTCTCCATATGCTTCCCCTGTCCTGCAGGATGGCATGTGAGGTACTAGTCAGACTATAACCTGGGGGTTGACATGTCCAGGAGAGGCCAGATCTTTCTCCCAAAGTTATGGTGGGAAAAGCCATCACCGCTTCTTAGAGATGACTGCTCCTCTGGTGTCCACCATTAGGCTGGGATCAGTAGGCTACACCACCATGCTCCTGGATGGGATCCTGCCCTGGGATGCAGGCTCAGTTGGAGTGATTAGAGAATGTCCTGCTGTCCTGGGGACAGACACTGTCCTGGGAGCCATGGGTCTGAAGCTGGATTCTCACACTTCCTTGTGAATGCCTCATTTGTATTATGTTCCAGCGCTGTTCTGGACCTTGTGCATCCCTTTGCCTTGACATCTTATTTTGCTAGTGACTTTTATTATTTGGATGGGAAAAAAAAAGCAGGCAAGCCTCCCTCAGCAGTGTGAGCCCCAACATTGCTCATGCATGGTGTCCCTCCTCATCACAGGACGTAGGCACCCGAAACTCAGTACTCGTGTCCTCACGGAGCAGGAAAAGGCACACGGTGGCTTCAGACTTGGAAAATTGGAGGAGGCCCTCATGCCAGCTTCCTGAAGCTGCTGTCAGCTTGATAACCCAGCGTGACAGGCTAAACCCTGGTATCAGACATCACTCCAGCCACCCACGCCAGGAAAGTCAGCCAGGCTGGTTAGCTGCAAGCTCCAGGACCAGCTCAGCTCTGTAGCCGCATACATTTGCCCTGGCAAGCACGGTGGGCGTTTTAATTAGAGGCTGAATATTTTTAGAAGCAGGAAAACCTCAGCAGAGGATAGGCTGGGGTGGGGAGGGGGAAAGACGTGGTTGAGCTGACATTTGCTTGCAGCACTCACTCTCTTGGAGGGTTATCAGCATCTCACTCCCATTTCCAGCATGTTGGGAAAGTCCTTGAGGGTTGCTTTCCCCCATCCGCCTTGTGCCCATGGCAGCACAGGACAACCTTCTCTCTATTTGCAAACAAGCACCTCTTGGTACCCAAAATCTCCCATTTTCTTCTCACCAGTCTGCTGGAGCTGTTTCTCCTGCCTGTCAGCTGTCAGCCTACAGAAGTCCCTCGCTGAATGATTCTGTGACTGACTTCATAGCAGCAGGAGGTGCCGTCCCTTTTAAAAATAGCTGCTCCTCTCTCCATTTTCCGTTTTGCAGGAGGTTTTTATTTCCAGCACGTTTGTTCCACACACTCTGGCTTGGTCAGGCTGGAAAGCACAGATGCACTCTTGCCATGCCAGAAAATAATGCTGCATGGCTGGGCATAATCCTTCTGGCTGCCCCAGGATCTGCCTCCTGGGAAAGCTTTGGGGCAGCAAAATCCTCTGCCCCATCCACGTTTCTGGAGGCAGCACCATAGCATTATTTCTGCCCTGTTGCCCCTGAGACATCCCCTTCCTTCCTTTTTTGAGGGGACAAACAGACCTGGGATCCTGATGATAAGGTGGGAAATTGAAGCTGAAACTAGGCCATCAGAGAAATCCCTTCCTGTAATAAGGAGGGAGTGGGAGCACCGGTCGTTAATCACAGCCTTTGTCTCCTAACATTTGTATGCCTGTGTGCACGCGTCCCCCAGCACCAGAACAAACCCCCCCTCCCGCCCCGTCCCCACCCCTGCACTGCCTTCCAGCAATGCCATGAAAAGAAAAGGGGCTCATTCTTCCACGGAGGAGCACCCCGGAGAAGGCAGCAGCCCACTGTGCTAGGCTGGGCATCTTTCAACCCCACCCCCCACCAGCTGCAAGGGGCTTTGGGCAGGGGGATGTGCTCCCATCCTGCCCAGCTCCACCTCCTCCAGTGCTCCAACCTCCACTCCAGGTGCACCCCAGGGGATGATTCAGCCTGAAAAGGTAAAGTTG